CAGATTCCCCCATCCTGTACTTGGATGGAAAGTTACCAGCCAATCCTGTTGCCGCATGACCGTAAGCGGCCACGTGATTGGCTGGTGACGGCTAACGCAGTTAGGAGGAACCAATCGCAGGCCGGTACGCCAGGCCTTGGTACATAAAGCGGCGGGTCTAGCATGAGATGGTGTCGGTGACGCAGACAGCCCCTCAGAGGGCGCGGGCGATGCTGATCGTCTGATAGCGGGATAACAGGCTTCCGTAAACAGCCAGGGCACGCTTGGCTTCTGCTGCTAGGTTTCTGCGGCTTCACCTGTCCATATACGGGGACTGACCGGAGTAGTTGTTCACATACGAACACCGTGGGTTCAGAACAGTAAAATCTTGCCAAATGATAGTGGTTTGGTCCCTGTCACACAACCTTCCCCAGACGACTAGCCGACCAAGGTTGGGTGTACGTAAAGCTCGGGAGCTGACTAGATTTCGGCCACGCCTACGTTTCTATACGAATCGGATCGGATTTGACTTAAATTTAAGTCAAATTTGATTACCAGCCACTCCTACTCCCGAACACCAGCCAACCGCCAGTCAACCATGGCCGAACCTCCCGTCCACACCCGTTTTAAACATGTTGAAACATTCAGCTATCGCAGTCGAACAGTAGCCAAAGTCGCCGAACACCGGCCCATCACAGCCGAACTTGCTCCCGACCTACTCCCAACCACGGTTGGGGGAAGTTCGGCCAGTGTTCGGGAGGCCATGCATATTTGGGAAGGAAAACCACTGGGAGAGGAAATATGCCGGGAAAGGTCGGGGTGCACTTCATATTCGCCGGGCACTCAAGAAGTTTACCAGACGTGAAAGTGGCAATTTACCTTTGCCATTGCACCCAATTTTCGACATCAATGTTTCATCTCCGGCAACGTTAAACGCTTGACGTTACGCCCTCCCCTGCGTTATAGCTTCAGCTGGCTGATGGGCTAGGAATCATCAACTAGGTATCCGCAATATGTAGGGGTGAAAAGAATGGCTTACAGAAAAAGAAAGGCAGAGTGCTGGCTGAGACTTTCAGTCATTTTTGTGAATCGGGCTTGTATCAGGAGTACCTTGAAGACTGGTTTTTGGTCGTTATATTGTGACCTATTGTCTCTACCAGGCCCGCCGCTTGAATACTTGGAGCAACGGCCCTGGCGTCATGGCCTGTGGGTTATAATTAGCGCTAGCCTGCAGTCAGCCAATCAGATCCCCCCTCCTTTACTTGGATGGAAAGTTACCAGCCAATTATGTTTCCGCATGATCGTAAGCAGCGACGTGATTGGCTGGTGACGGCTAACTCAGTTAGTAGGAATCAATCGCAGGCCGGTACGCCCGGGCTCGGTACATACATGTAAAGCGGCGGGTCTAGCATGAGATGGTCTCGGTGACGCTGACAGCCCCTCAGAAGGCGCGGGCGATGCTGATCGTCTGATAGCGGGATAACAGGCTTCCGTAAACAGCCAGGGCACGCTTGGCTTCTGCTGCCAGGGTCACGGTGTTTGTTGAGATTTTCATTTCGATACTGCCGTTATCAGTCACAAAAGCCTGTCCAGGGGGTTGGGGGGGGGGCAGGACAGTGCCACCAGGATTGAGAGATAGGGAAGAGAGAAATTAGGGAACTCAGCAATCCTGGTTGCCTCACTGCATTCGACTGTGTCGGCTAGCAGGATCTAGAAAAAGATTCCATTTCATGAGCCTGCTAACAGACAACAGGCTGGCTGGATAAACAGTTCATCAAATGCAAAATGAAGCGCACGTAACAAACGCGCTGTGACTTACACAAGCTTCAAGCTAATTTGTCCTGTTACCACACAGTTTATCAAGTACAGTAAATATTTTAGTCTCTACCAGACTAACTACGCTGGCTATATGCAGGAGAATATTTGCCACGGGAGTTTGGCTGCCTTGTAGGTTTGACTGGCCGCGCTGTCGGAGGGAAAGAAACTACCCCCCCGCGGCCGGACTCCCTTAGTTAATTTTACTCTCTCTTTTTTTTTCTGAATTCTACGATCCGTATTCCCGTAGAAAGGTGCAGGCTATACATATTTCAGTATGACGAAGTGATGCCTGTTGATGGTGTTCTTCCCCGTAAAAAAAATCTAGCGTAGTTTCTGAAAAGATGTGAACAGGAAGCCGTCTGTCTGGGGAGTAATCATGCGGCAGCACGCAGAGCGCCAGTAGGTCATCCAAGCAAGCAGTCCAACTCATCAGTCCCTGCCCGGAGAGACATTCGGGCCGCGATGTGCGAGATCGCAAATTCATGGAAGGGCGTCCAGGCAGTTCCTGCCGCAGACGTGACTGCTGTGTTATGGCTGAGGTCACAGGGATCGAAATACTGGGTGCACGTGCACCTTAGTGCAACCAAATTTGGAGCTGTGCACCCAATTGTTTTCTGTGGGTGCACTTATTAAATGTATAATAGTATACAGGATATTCGTGGCATCCAAGTGTCAAAAAATAATAAAATCTTTTTGAAGTACTTCTTTAAGATTTTGAAGTAAGCTCCCATTTCAGATTCAGGCTTAGAAGAGGAGCAGTAAGATCTGTAATTAGGTTTTGTTTTACACGGTGNACCCCCCCCCCCCAAAGAAAAAAATTGGTGCATTCCAAAAATGAATTTCGAGCCCTGCGGTCACATTTCCGACCCGGTTATGCAAGTTCTGGGAGTGAAAAGTATGATATAAAAGACATAAAAACAACAACAAAAAAAAAATAAGATTTGCAACAACAACTGATTATAAGCACTATATTATACGTATTCTTTATATGAGTTTTTTTAAATTTTTCGATTAAGCCCCGGCTTGGAAATGTGACCTCAGCATTACGGTCACACATGGGATATGTTCACATTTCGAGGGGCCTTAAGTTTTTTTTTTAAATTCTTTATTACAATCTAAATAATACAATCATTATGGTAGTGCATGTATCACAATTACAGGTACCCACGTTTGACAATATGGACAATAAGAACACAATTATATGTCATATAGTGACAAAACAAGCTTAGGTATAAGCTAGAGCTGTGTACCTAAACAAATTTTAGGTACAGGTACAGGTACAGGTACACAGGTTTAGGTACAGGTCCGGACCTGAACCTGTACCTGAACAATTCGACCAATTTATATGCTCTTCTGAACTCCTTCAATAACAAAAAAACATAAATAAACTTGATAGTTAAGGTTTATTCTTTGTTTATGGCGAATGCTCAGATAAAATATAGGCAAAACTAAGATGTTTTTGTTTTCATGAACACACTGTCCTTACACAGGCACCCATTGTTAACCAGCTATTTAAACATTTGAGGTCACAAATAGGCATAAAATTAGTGTGAAATTGTTTAGGTACAGTACCGGTACTGAGGGATTAGGTATTTTGGACCTGTACATAATCAATTTTTCCGGTACAGTATCGGTACTGCGTACCGGTACACAGCTCTAGTATAAGCATAAACAGATAAAAAAAGGTTCACCTTAAGTTTACGCTAGTCCCGCTAGTAGATGTCATATAGTGTGCACTTATGCTGAGGTCACATTTCCAAACCGGGGCCCGGCCGGGCTGTTTCGATTAATGTAAAATCAACACTATACGCAAATAGTTCCCAATATTAATTTTTCAACTTTTTAATGCTCTGTTGCCTTTTTTGTCATAGTGTTTGCTCCATAAAACTGCTCCGGTTTGGAAATGTGACCTACTACGTACTAAATACTACGTAAGTGTTAATGGGCCTAAATTCCCCTCCTAGCTCTGATTGGCGGATGTTTTTCCGCCAATGAGATATAGGAGGTTAGCCATGTAATCTTATCTTTCAAATAGCTCTGTTAGCATTTAATTTAACATTTTAATGTCTTGGGGTGGTGGGACTACGGCGCACAGATATGTCAACTTTGTATATTTAAATGTTAATTGTACCTTTTTTGTGGTGTGGCGCTGTTAATATAAGTTGTTAACTTGAGTGCAGCGCCACACTGTCCTTGTTATGTTTTAATGTTTTGATGAATAAAAAAAAATGTGACCTCAGCTTTAGGGCGGGACGGGGTGACCGCAACACGCCGGCTTTGTCCTCGGTTCCCCGGGAACGCGCCTGCCGCCCGGTAATCAGCCGTAGTATCTCGGAATATGCAATTAAGCAGCCGTATAATTTGCAATTGACGTGCTATAAGACTGCGTTAAATATGTAGAGGCTGAACGCATTTTTTTCTACCTCAGACGAAAAAAATTACCCCCCCCCCAAGAAAATATCAGTAGCATCATTCGATAAAAGTAAGTGTAATAATCACCAACCTCCGCTAGAGCTGAAACTCGGTTTAAACCTATCAAACTGAATCATTACCCAAACTATAAATAAAGTTTTTACAGCTAACATGAAGAGATCGATTTTCGGGTGAATATGCTCCGGGGCATTCCGGCTCGGCGTTGATAGGCGGGCCTACTATGATGAAGTAACCCCTTTACAATTATGTATAGGTTTACTTTCCGTCTTGATTCCTTAATGCCACAGTCCTATCCTTTCCTCCATTAGACTGTAAATGGTACAAAACTGGGGGCATTACGGTGGAGATGGCGTCAAAATGAAAATTGACTGCCTTTGCCTGAGATAAGTAGAGGGTGTCGAGGTCGGCTGCGTCCGCTCGATGGCGGTATTAATAAATGTACGTGGATTGATTTCCGAATTGGGGGCCCGGCCCACTAGCGGTGGAGCAGTCGCCCAGCCCCTGCTACTCGCATAATTGGCACACGGTGTGCGCACGGGTCGTGTGGTGTGCTGTAGCGCAGCGCCGGTGTTGTGTGTGTGCGTGCGTGTTTGTGGATACTTGTTTCCTACCGCCAGGGTTTCTTCTTTTTTTCCGGAAGGACGGCAAGGATTCCCTTGGATTTAATCTAACCCAGTGGCGTATTATGTACCAAAGATTTCCGATGGATAGTGCTACTGCTGCATCCGTGAGACTGTTGACTGAGTGTGCGGTGGTGTTGTGTGTTCTAGGAGCCTACGCGACTATAGCGGTGACGGTGGGTCCCAACAAGCAGGCGTTGAAGGGCGCGGAGTCGGTGGTGCTGCCCTGCCAGTACACGTCAGACGATGCCGCTCCGACCGTCCGATGGTGGAAGGAGCCCGACATTCCTGGACAACAGAGGGCCAGGGTCTATCACGTCACAAACGGTCAGGCGTTCACTGGGTAAGTCTCGTCAAAAAAATCGCTACAAGTCTACTACGTATCGTCAGAATACATACAGGCACAAAGCATAAAGTGTAGAGTGCCTCTTTTCAGTCTAGTGCTACCCCGTATTGTTGCTCGCACTGGTAATGCTTCAGTCCAACACTGCAACAGTCAAAGCGAAGACTCTGACCCGCTTTCCTCAAATGGGGGTCAAACATTTATGTGTTCCGCGGCCGTTCATTATTTTGAAAGAACACTTAGCTTCCCAACCGTGATACGGTTCTTTTTAGTCTCACGCCCTCCACAGAAACGTAGGGTACAAATATCGAGATACCTTTACGATAACAATTCTTTTAGTATCAAGTTTTACACAGAAATGTAGAGTACAAATATCAAGGCACCTTTACGATTAGACTATTTTAGTCTCATGTCTTCCACAGAAACGTAGAGTACAAATATCGAGATACCTTTACGATTAGAATTATTTTTAGTCTCTAGTCTTCCACAGAAACGTAGAGTACAAATATCGAGATACCTTTACGATTAGAATTATTTTTAGTCTCATGTTTTCCACAGAAACGTACAGTACAAATATCGAGATACCTTTACGATTAGAATTATTTTTAGTCTCTAGTCTTCCACAGAAACGTAGAGTGCAAATATCGAGATACCTTTACGATTAGAATTATTTTTAGTCTCATGTCTTCCACAGAAACGTAGGATACAAATATCGAGATACCTTTACGATTAGAATTCTTTCAGTCTCAAGTCTTCCACAGAAACGTAGGGTACAAATATCGAAATACCTTTACGATTACGATTATTTTTAGTCTCATGTCTTCTACAGAAACGTAGGATACAAATATCGAGATACCTTTACGATTAGAATTCTTTTAGTCTCATGTCTTCCACAGAAACGTAGAGTACAAATATCGAGATACCTTTCATCATCTCCGTTACTGCCTAGCCCTACCATGTAGGATTATTGGCAGCTAATTGTAACAACCTTTGATTG